AAAGTCCAGAAAGACTATGTCCACTGCTACACCTGCATCTAAGGATTTGGTGACATGATCATAGAAGGCCACCAGGTTGGTCTGACAGGACCTGCCACTAATGAACCGGTGTTGGTTGCCCCTAAGCATAATCTCCCCTGCTGGCCCCTCATGGACATGCACCCGGTTAATTCTCTCAAAAAGCTTACCTAAGATTGAGGTAAAACTGGCTGGCCTGTAGTTTCCTGGGTTCTCCTTCCTCCCTTTTTTGAAGATGGGAACCACATTGGCCCTCTTCCAGTCCTCTGGCACCACACCAGAGCACTACGAGTGCTTGTAAAGCTGTGCCAGAGGTCCCGCAATGACCTCAGCTAATTCCCTCAGCACTGTGGGGTGGAGATTGTCCGAACCAGCTGATTTAAATACATCCAGTCCCTCCAGAAGTTCCCTGACTAGACCCTCACTGACCCTTGGCCTAGGTGCACCTCCCCTGGGGCCTGAGGGAGGCCCAGTATGGGGGCTGATCCGGTCCCTGCTCAGGATTTTGTTCCACTACACGTAATGCCTATATAGTTACATATAACATTTGAGAATGTGTTCCAGTACTCCAGTATCCCAGAATGCATTGCTTACCAGCTACCCACAGCTCCAAGGAGCCTGCTCTGTAACTCATGCCAAGCTCTACTGTTCCAGGGTAGGGGAGACATGGTCTCACATCATCATGCCCATTTGCTCCACAGTACAAAAACACACAAAGCTCTCTCATATGCTTCAGAGCTGCCCCAAGATAGCTTAAAACAATGATTTGCCACATAGTCCAGAAAGACTATGTCCACCGCGACACCTGCGTCCAAAGATTTTGTGACCTGGTCGTAGAAGGCAACCAGGTTGGTCTGACAGGGCCTGCCTCTAATGAACCCATGTTGATTGCCCCTAAATGTAATCTCCCCTGCTGGTCCCTTGCAGATGTGCTCCTGGATAATTTTCTCAAAGAGCTTTTCCAGGACCGAGGTAAGACTAACAGGCTTATAGTTTCCTGGGTCCTCTTTTCTCCCTTTTTTTTTTTGAAAATGGGGACCACATTGGCCTTTTTCCAGTCCTCTGGCACCTCGCTAGGTTCATGTATGCCAGCCACAGCACTGGGCAATCAGATGTGGTTTGGGGCAGGGTAAGGTGTTACAGGGAACTGTGAACCAAAACAGTTGCAACAGCATGTAAGCCCAGTGCTCTTCATTTGTGACGCCTCCCTAAGGTCAACAGTGCCCTTTATTCAGCCATTGACCTTCCACAGTTTACTGAGGAAGATAAAGAATGGTGCCAGCATACACTGGATGGCCCAGAACATCTCCTGAACTGATTCTCCCACTGTGAACTTGCCAATGCTGAACTGGTTGGTAATGTACCGGAGGCTATTGGGGCTTGCAAGCTTCCATATTTCTTCATGGAGAGGGGGGGTGTCCTTATGCTGATTCTGTCACTCATGGGTAGAGACCAGCACATCAGGTAGCTCTGTGAAGACCATCCAACACATCCTGAAGTTCTGCTGCCACTGCTTGTTATCCTAGGTCATCAGGTTGATGTGTTCTCACCAGTCAGTGATCACTTTGTTTGCAAGGAAGCACCAGCACATAGTCTGTAAGTGGTCCTTGAGTATGTTGTCCACTTCATGCAGAAGGCAGGGTAGAGGCACTGTATCAGCTAACTAAATCAGGGTTATCTGGGATCACTGGTAGACACAAACAGGGAGCAGAGCTCAAGAACATGCATATCCAGGGCCTCGGTTGTGCCTGCATGCATATGCATGGCACTGCACGCCAGCCAACACAGGAGTGGGATCAGCTTGTTGAAGAAACAGTGAGATGACTTGCCTCTGATGTTAAGAATACAACACACATGACCCACTAGTATTGCTGGACTGGGAGCCTTAGGGCATATGGGTAGTAGGATTCATTCCATAGTAGGAGGATAAATGTGATCTGTCCAGTCATGCTGTGTCTCTGAGCAAGCTGGAGAGGGCAGTCCCTGAGTCAATGTGGTCCAGGTAGCCAGCCAGTCAACATTTTCCTCTGCAATCAGTGTTCTTGGGAATCTGCAGACAGGGATCTCCTCAAAGCATGCTGGGATCTCTTCACACTGTCCTCCTACAGCACACCAGTAGTATATATCCTTGCCATACTTTATAGCCCTCTGGAGGACTGTGCACTTAAATAGGTGTGTGCATGTCACACTATATTTTCATAGTTTTACAAATTTCCCAGAAAAGTTGTCCATACTTTTAGACACTTTACCACCACTACGCATTGCAGTAGGAGTCTAGAAATCTGGCAGAGGGGAGTCAGTCTCATATTAGGGATCTCTCTTTTACTGTCTCCATGAAAAGCTAACCAAATTTGACCACGTTAATGCCATCTGTAAAAAATTAATATATTCCCACTAAAACTTTGTTAGTATTTGGCAGCTGACAGAGAGAATGTTCCATCCCCACACAGCTCCCATGGGTCAAGTGACCGTCTGCTTGTCATTTCCACAGGGCAACAGATCATGTTCCAGCACTGAGAAGGACTTCCCTTTTACCAATAAATGCTTTTCTCAGGTCCAGGGAACTGTTTTGCTGCCAGACACAAGACCTGAGAACAGGAGATATATGACTATAGAACTAGAAGGGGCCTTTGGGCCATCAAATCCAGTCCCCTTACCTGAACTGGACCTTTGTGATCCTAAATCCTGTATTTGGTCTGATCTGAGCAGAAGAGACTGATCATGTAGCTAGGAACCACTGACGAGCAGAAATGCACTCCAATTAAAGACCCCCAGACTTAGCTGTGGTAAGCATCCCAAAGCTACACAAGATTGCAAAAAAAACCCTAGACCCAGTAGTTTTAATGAGTGGAAAACTCCTTCCTGGCTCCAAATGATAACCAGCAAAAGCCCTGAATTATGAATTACCTTACACTTTCCACACTACAACAGGGTTTACGTCTATACCCCCAACCTGGGGAAAAGAAAACACATAGTTCCACCTTGATGGCTGAGTCAGAACTCCCTGTCTTATCATATAACTCCTTCCCATAAATGTATCCAGTTCATCCTTAGAGCAATTCTGGTTTTCTGCCGTTGCTGCTTTACTTGGAAGATGATTCCGAAACTCCATTCCTCTGAGAGTTTAAAATCTTTTTCTAATTTCCAGCAGACTCAGTGCTGTTTCTCATTAAGTGAATATGCATCTTGCCATGGAGTTTACTGAAAGCACAATCGGGCTAAATGTCACAAGGAGACAACCCATAACCTGCTTTGGAGACCATGAGTGGTAAAGAAGGGAATGAGCAGTACTGTGTGATTTATATTTCCTTTCTCCCTCATTCCATTGTCGGTATTCTTGTTGGTTTGTAAGAAATAGCATGCTACTAGCAGGCACAGCGATTTATAATACAACAAGAAAAGCTATACACTATGGAATTAAAATATATTCCTACTTCAGCTCACAGAACGCATTAATTTTAACAAATGGCTGAGATACCCATTTCAAATTACTAGACAAGCAAAAACACATAAGTGAATAAGTAAAAGAAGCAATGATGCTGAATCACAAAATACATTTATTCATTTATTTATTGTTGCTTACTGAAATTACATAAAACACCTCAGCATAACCCTTGGTGATATACAATTCTTGTTAGTGCATGAAAAAGTCAATAGATCAAAATAATGCAAAATATTTCAAAGGTAATTAAGTTTCAATAATGTATTATCAGTCATAGTCTACCAGTTAATGTTTTGCAGTACATTTTGCAAATATTATGGAGTCTTACTTATGACCATTAAATCTTTGCTTTAGGGAACAGTTGCATTTTTTAAGGAAAATTGTGATGCATAGAGATGAGTAGCATGAGAATAAGTTATATTATACAGAATACAGATAAGTATTAGATTTTTTTTGTTGAAAAGATAATATTCTTTCTACCTGGAGATGGAAAGAGAGTTCAGGTTAAAAGTTGGATGACTGTGTCATGGTGATTAGAATACAAAGATAAGTAAAATAACTTTCCATTAGCATCTTTTTCTTTTCTTTCCTTTCCACTGCAACTAGAGTCAAAGCATGTTAGTCCCAAACAAATTTCAGATCTGCCAGTATCTGTTCTGTGCCTCGACAGTATCAGCATCTGCTGTGAAGAATCAATAGAGGAAATTTAGCTTCCATAGGCATAAGGAAAACCTTGCTGGTATCTTAGTTCTGATCCTCTAGAAATTGATCAAATATATGTTTGTAACCCAGATGATGGCCCAATAGTTGCCACCCCCGCCTAATATCAGGGATGGTGTGGTGGGAGTGGGGCAGGGCTTCTGGCTAGCACCAATTTACTTTCCAGCCAGCCCCTGCTCCCCACAGAGCAGCCCGGGGTCCCAAGAAGGTCTAACACTTAACTGATTTAACTATTTACACTTTATTTACAAAACAAGAATAATAGGAAAGGCTATTTACAAGTGAACTTAAATGGCATAACCAGAATCACAAAACAAACCAGAATGCATTAGTCAACCCTTGACTCAAGAACCACAGGTAGGGTAACTGGCAGCTTTCAGCCACTGCTGAGATGCTACAGCAAGGAAGGAGGGTGCTCGCTTCCAGCAGCTCCAGCAGGCTTCCCAATAAGCAACAGACTGCAACAGGTTAAGCTCTTCTGGTCTGCAGCAATCAAATTGTATCAAACCCCAACCCCACAAAGAGGCTGAAGGGTGACTCTCTGTGGCAACCAAAAAGGCAAGCAACAAAGTAGGCTCCTGCAGCAATCAGCATGACCCAAGTACAAAGCTCAGGGACTCCATCCAATGACAATCAGCTGCAGAATAAGGGACAGGACTGAGTCTCCTCTGGGGCAGTCAGTGGCAGAGGGTCAGCAGCACATGCAGCCCCCAGGGGTCATTGCTCTAAACCCCTGCTCCAGATGACTGGATGGGCACCCCACACACCTCACGGCTCGCCAGTCCTGCTCTGAGTGCCAGCCTGCACTCTGAGCTCCTGGGAAAACTCATCCTGGTGCTCTGCTGCTCCTCAGGATCCCAGTGCCTTACCTGTTGCTGTCCTGCTTCCCCAGGGAAGGGAAGGGGTTTCCTCAACTCACCGGTCCAGCTCCCTGCTCCAAATAAGGATGCCGCCTGCTCTCCTGGCCGCTGCTTCTTCTCCGCAGTGGAGTGGGGGGGCTGACTGCCACCCCTTACCAAGCCCTGGCTGTGGCTCCCTTTCTGCTGCAGGGCTGGAGCACGGCCGACTGCTGCTGCCTTCTTCTCCCAGGGCCTTCAACGCTCTTCAGAGGGGTCTCTCTGCTCCCTCTGCTGGGTCAGCTCACCCCAGCTCTTCTTAGGCCTCCTGTGTCATTCCCCGGAGTCACTGTCAGCAGCTCCCACACACCGGATCAGCTGCTGTTTTAATCCCCTCCAGCAGTCCCTCCCTGGCTTGCAAACCAGCCAACCAGGGCTCAGGGTGGCTGGCCCCCAACTGCGGCCATCCCCCTCCCACGTGAATGAGGGGATTGAAAACCCCTTCTTTTGATTGGCTTCTCCTTTTCCACAGGGCAGGGCTCCCCTGCTCCACCTTTGGGCTCACACAGAGTTCACCGGCACTGTTTCTAGTCCAGGGTAAGTGTCTCAAGCCAATCTGGTGAGCCCACATTGGCAGTTTGTTACATGTTTAAGATTTAACATTCGTGTACATTTCCACCTAGAAAACGAATGAGAGATGAATCAAAATTTACTTCTGTTGACTTTCAAAGGGTAAG